ATTTTACAATTAAATGTCTAATATTTAAATCCAGTGTAGAGACAAAGATCTCATGTAAGCTGGGGTTTTGACCTAAGCAAACGGAACAGGAATGAAGATATAACAGTTTCTAAAGCAGGGCTAACCCATGTGCTGGATATAAGTGGGAAATGGTGGCATGTGTCCTACTTTGAGGACTGATCCATGAAAATCAGTGCACATAAATTATGGTGTGGCAGATACTACTGGCTACCTACCAATATCTCTCCTTCTCTCCTTCTTACTTACTGGCCAAACTCCAGTTTTGCTCAGGGCTACAACATATGTAGTTTTAAAAAAAAAAAAGACAATGACCAGCATCCCTTGTGGCATGGGATGCCCACATGACAGTTCTGGCCACTACAAAGTAAGCTAAGCCACCTGATGGAGCTTCTAGGCATGCTCTTTTAAAGGGAAGATTTGGCTGCCACTACTCTTTTGTCCTCTATGGGTCTCCTTTCTCCTGCCTGGAATAGGAACAGGAGACAGAAGGTAGAGCCACCATCTTGCGCTGAGGCAAAAAGGCATTAATATGAAAATGAATGCCCCGTGCTAAGAATGGCTGAACAGAACAGCAGAAGGAAATGGGTTCCTCACAGTATCCTGGAGGCCCACACAGTCCTGCATTGCTGATCTCCCAACTTCTTTCACAAGAGAAAAATCCAACTCCCATCTGGTAAATCCACTGTTAGCTGGGTTTTCTGTTAGGTGCAGCTGAACCTACTCTTATGTGATATCTACTGTAAAAGACCATTTATTTTACAAAAGCCTTACTGAATTATTTCACTGGCAAGGTGCCATGAGCTATGAATTAATTTGATTCACAAATAATTTTCCTGACACACACCTGATATAATAAGGCACACATACTAGATGACACTCTCCTGTTAACATAAAGTAATAACTCGCATCACAAGAATCCTGAAGAGCTATTCATAAATATAGTGGTGATTCTGAGTGTTCGCTAGCGTCACCCTGGAAGAGCCTTCTGAGAAGATGGAGTGAATGGGCAACCACCTAGGGCCAAATCCTGCCCTGCTACTTCCCAGCCATGTGACATTAGTCAAGGTACTTAACCTCGCTGTGCCTCAGTTTCCTCAACTGCAAAATGGGAATAAGAGTGCCTACTCAAAGGGTGGTTGTGCATATTAAATGAATTCATACCTGTAAAAAGCTTAGACCTGTGTCTGACACATTGTAACATTTACTGTACATTTACTACTCTGATGATAAAATTGGCAGTGGATAAAAATTAATAATAAAAGCCAGAAAAATTAATTCATTCTTTAGACACCAGCTTGGGTCTTAATGCCTGCATCTGTCTAATTACACTGACATGAAAGTCAGCTGTAGATTGCAACCGGGTTTACAGAGTTTCTAAACCCAAGGCTTTCTGCGGTGCTCATAATCACCATACCCCTACTCATACAATACCAACAGTAGCAGAGGCTCCATGAAGAGCTGCTTATCAGCAGGGTATATTTATAAAACGGGGGTTGGGTAGCAAGGTTAGCAAAGACAGCTAAAAATAGGCCTACAAGCAAACAAGTTTTCATAAACCAATAGTTGGTTAAAAAGTCAATACTTTTCCATCATTACCATGAGAAATATTCAAGTAATGTGTCATGCCTTGTGGGTAAATGCAGCCTCTTATCCTCTAAGAGTCAGCCACACACACACTTGCTCATTTTCTCTGTTTTAAATTCTAACACTAGAAAGTATCCAGGTCATTCTATGAAGCTGTACTTAGAGTCCAAAAGGGCACAGCAGAGGCGTATCTAAGGTATGGCAGGTATGGCTCTGTCCTGGGCAGCACGTGAAGCAGGGGAGCACTACTGAGCAGTTTCTATTAATCTGTCACGGCCCAACATCCTTCCTCAAGCACGGGAGACACAGGCTAGGGGTGTGGTGTGCAGAGGGGGGGGCACTTGGCCCGGGGCACAAGTCCAAGGGGGAGCCAGACGAGGCACGGAATAACATTCTGAGGCACCACAAATATGAAAGGTGCCTGACTGAGAAATCCAGACAAAAGCGGGGAAAGTGTTTCTACTGACACTTCGCCGCTGTCAACGTCTACTCATCTTGAAATTGGGGGAGAGGGGCGCAACTCAGAGATTACCCCTGGGCACTCCTGACCCTCGCTAGCCCCTTCAGGGGCACAGCTTCAGTGCTTGCCATAGGCGCTATTTTCAGTCGACACACCTGGGCGCACAGCATTTGGTATAAAGTTGCCAAATGCGAGCCACAGGCATGTAACCTAATCAGCATCTAATGCTTGGGACACCAAGGTGTTGAACCACCCATCATTGCTCTTTCAGGTCATGAGGAAACTTTTCTAGATGAGAGCAATCTCAACTAAGCCATCACATCAAGACAGCTAGATGCCAAAAACACGTATTTATCTGCTCTTCCTTTTAGATGCTAAACAAGCATAACAGGATGTGAATTTACACTTCTCCTCTCCCAATCCCAAGAGGGACCAAAAAAAAAAGTCACAAATCTTAACGGTGTGAAGATCGCGCTCCATAATCTTACTGGGTACTTGTCACCATTTTCTGCTTGTACATTATCAAGCAGGCTGGCAGAGGCTCAGGAAAGTAAAAGTGGTAAGGTTTAACCCTTTCTTTACTCTAGAGCCCTGCTGTCCAATAGAAGTATTGTGTCAGCCACAAGTGTGATCTTGATCTATAGGTGTTGTTTAACATTTTCTAGTCGCCACAATTAAAAAATGTAAAAATAAACTAGTGAAGTTAATTTTATTACTAAATTTAGTTTACGTAACCCATTATATCCAAAAATATTGCAACAGGTAATAAACATAAAAAATTATTAATGAGCTATTTTACATCCTTTTTTTTCACACCAAGTCTTCAAATCCAGTGTGTACTGTACACTGACAGCACATTTCAATTCTGACTAGCGACATTTCAAAGGCTCAGTGGTCACTTGTAGTTACCAACTACCTTAAAGGCCAGAACCACCCTAATGGCTGTTGTTGGGTACAGTCAAGTCGATTCCAACTCATAGCGACTCCATGTGACAGAGCAGAACTGCCTCATAGGGTTTTCTAGGCTGCAACCTTTATGGGAGCGGACTGCCAGGTCTTTCTCCCACAGAGCCACTTGGTGGGTTAGAATGACCTTTCGGTTAGCAGTCGAGCACTTAACCATTGCACCACCAGGGCTCCAGCACCACTCCAAAAAAACCACTGTGCAGAGTTGATTCTGAATCATAGTGACCCTGTAGACAGAGTAGAACTGCCCCATAGAGTTTCCAAGGCTTTTATCTTTAAGGAAACAGACTGTCACATCTCTCTCCTGCAGAGCAGCTGGTGGGTTCCAACCACCGACCCTTTGATAAGCAGGTGAGCGCTTAACCACTGCGCCACCAGGGCTCCTTTTAGGACCACTCTAGAGAAAAAACTGCTGAAAGTATGTCAGTCCCATAAGTTGCCTCTATGTTGGACATACAAGTGAACAGATCACTCAGTCTCCGGGGAGAGGCAATTTGCTAGATGGGGCAATCTGGTAGCATCCTGAGGATGGAGAAACGCAGCCCATTTCTACGTAAGGTATTTACAGCTTTCGAGTTACGATTTTGTACCTCGTACTGACAACACTCTTTACTCTTTACCCAGGCAAACCTAATCGCCAATTTGCAAGTATTTGTTTTTTTATCTTCATTTTAAGTCAGAGCCCAGGAAATGTGGTCCCTGACAAACCTCTTCTCAGGAGAGAGCGGACGCCTTCTCCCAGAGGCTCAGGAAACAGACATGCCCCATGACACATCCCACCCTTGTGGGACGTCCCATCCCATGGAGTACTATCGCAGCATGGAAATGACATGTGGAGATGATGGGTTGTCATTGTGCCACGGCCACGGGTGAGACAGTCTGAAGATGACCTGATCTTACCAGTATTACCTACCTCACAGGCTTACTGGGATGACCAAGGGCAATAACAGAGAGCGCTTAGGAAACTGTAAAGCGCTATACAACTCTAGTTACCATTACTGAGAAAGGACACCATTCCTCACCTAGAAGAGCAGACAGAGGAAAGAAAGGAAAAAACAGTAACTCGAAACAGAGAGATGTTGAATTGGGGGGGAGGGGGAGCCCATGAAAATCTATTGGCTTTGCTGGACTTTGTTCTCTTAGAAGAGTACAAAGAGGCTTGAGGGCCTCTATCGCCTTACCCTCAAATGCTTGGGAGACGCTAAAAAGTGAGCGAGGCAGCTAAGAGTGCAAGTTTCCACCGCTGCCGACCACCTATTACCACCCTCCCCACCGCTTTTCCTCATGTGAACTATTGTATAATTCAAAAAACAGTGGTTCAAAACAGTTCGAGTTCTCCTTCCCAATTCTTAAATGTGGGGTAAATATGCCGCTCCCGCCAGAGGTACTGGCACTTTGCCGGAGCAAAAGTCGGCGACTCCGGAAGAGTCCTGGATGAAGGTTTCTCACCCGCGCAAGCGCCACCACGTTGGCTCTTCTGCTGCCCTGTCGCCTTCTCCAACAAAAACAGAAAGGCTCGGCGGACTGCCGGCGTCCCTTACCTGTCCAATCGCCGCGTCATGCCCGCGGACTGCTCTGGGCAGGCGGCATTTACGAGGTCCGCGGGAGGCACCGACACAAAGGCGCCTTGTGCCTCTGCGCTCGAGGACGGGCCGCCGGGCACCGCACTCCCAACAGGGCAAGGAGGGCGCCACCCGCCAGCATCCCCAACTCTCACCCTCCAGAGAAAGACCACCCCTTCTCTGCGCTTTCAAGATGGGACTCCCTCGCCTTGCCACAGCCGGTACCCCAATAGGAACAGCTGGGAGCTCGCAAAAGAGTGGGGGCGCACAGGCCATGCGGCAGTTTGCACCGTCAACACGCCGCGCTTTCGACGCGACCCGACCGCAGACGGAGCTAAGCACGCCTTCCCCAGCACCCAGCAGCCCCATCCCCGGCTGGAAGAGTCGGGGCCCCCAGATCCGCTCACCTCTAGTCCAGTCCACCACTTGTTTGGGGCTCCACTTGGTCACTGGCTCCATGGTAAATGGCCGCGCGGCAGCCGGGCTAGAGCGTCGGCGTAAAGTCCTGGAGCCTGCGTCCCGGGGTCCCTTCTCGGGAGGGCGCGCCCCCGGCTGGTCCCTGCGCGCCGGAGCCCTCCGTCAAGGCTGCATGCCGCGGTCAGTGGGTCATGCCAGTGCGGCCCGGCGACACACGGGACAGCTGTGCGGCTCCTCCTCCAGTTGCCACCGTCCAGTTGGGGCTCCTCCTCCTCCTCCTCCCCTGGCGCCTCCGGGACCCCGGGCACAGCCGCTGCTACCGGCGGCGGCGGCAACCCCAGACCCTCCGGCCTGGGCGCGGGACCCTCCCTCCGCCCTCCGGGCTGCCCCTAGGCCCAGGGCCACTTCCTCCAGTCCGGACGCGCGCGGCCCCCTCCGACTGCCCTTCTGCGTGGCGCTCTCCCGGCTCCGTGTGCGCCCGCGTCCCGAGCTTCCTGCCCGGCCTCCGCCGGCGCTGCGCCCCCGGGGTGCACGGAGAGGACGAGCGCTCGGGTTACAAGTCTCCGCTCGCAGCGCTGGGAACCTAATAAGAGAGGGGTGGGGCGGCGCGGAGCGAAACTCTCGGGGGGCGGGGCGCCGTGCTCCTCCTTCCGCCGCGCGCGCCCGGGGAGTCCAGCCGCGCTCCCTTCCGAGGGCGGGCGGTGGGGCGCGCCAGAGTCCCACGAGCCGCGGGCTGGGTGCGCCAATGGGCTTGTGGTTAGCAGGACAGCCTGTCTTGGTAGGAGCAGCGAGACGCTAAAAGAAAGTAAAAGAAGGATCTGCATGTTATGTTCAGTTTGAGTGCTTTGTAACACAGTATTGCTCTGTAAGCCCTACTCATTGTAAACTTCTTAAAGCAAAATAGCTTTCTTTTTTAATGCTACTCCAATGATATTTCCACTTCGCCACTGAAGTTAATCCTGATAAACTGGTAACTGATAACGTTTAGCTTTATATATTGCTGTATGGTAATATTCATATTTGCAAAGTGAGCTAATGATGCTCATTTGGATTAGTCATGAACCGGGAGGAGAAAGTTGCTAGCCAGCCAAAAAAAAAAAAAGCGTGTGCACGATTTCAACTGACTGACATGGGGAGGGCCCTCCTTCAACGTTCACAGGACTCCATCTGGAGCCAGAGTTAACCCTGAATTGGGGGAAAATCCTAAATTCAGGCATCTGCCCCTCCTCTTTCAAGCCTTCCCTGAATCCCCTCCCCAGCCCAGTGAACTTTGCCTCCTACCCACGCTCAGAATTTCTTTTGACGCTTAATAATTCCTACTGTCGATTATGGTTATTTATTTACATCTTCCGTTGGGAAACTGTTAACCCCTTGAGGGCAGAACCTACTTCATGCTACCTAGTTTTCTCTCCTCTCCCTTTCCTGACGCCTAGCTCAAAGCACCCGGCGCGGTGTGGAAATGTGGTTGGTATCTATTCATTCTGTAAATATCTGTGGATGCCTCCTGTGTGCCAGCCACTGCGTTCGTTAACTATGTGTTGAGTTATGTGAGATGTACTGTTTAAACAGGTGTGTTTTGGACGTACGTGTTGGGAACGTGGCTAGCAGCAGAACTGAGCACTTGTGTACTTTGATGAGCTGGCATGAGCAAGCAGAAGAAACATTAAAGAAAGTGAAACATCAGACCCCCTCCCCCATGCAATTTATGTATGGGACTGAGGAACCAACCGCAGCCACACAGAGACGCGCCACTATCAAATACAGTGAAACCTGTGAAAGCCGAAACCTGTGTGAGGCAGAAGCCTGTCAGAGAAGGAAAACATAAATATTTTCCACTAAAACAGCGATAGATGTGGTAAGATTGCACCCTGACAAAGGCGGAAAACTTTCCACACCCCGACAAACAAGGAGTTCTGGCTTTCGTGGGTTTCTTATTCACACTGTATAATGATTCTTTTTGAGCAAAAGACATTGGCAGAGCAAGAAACTTAGCAAAGGCAATAGCAGAACTCCTGGTAGAGTCCTTGTTCCGGGGTGGTGTGGGGGGAGATAACCTTGAAACTTACTACCATCTATTGTTAACCATTTTTTGGCAGTAAGTATGGATAAATGTAACCAACCTTATCCACAGCTTTAGTTACAGCTATTAGTTCGTATTGTGTCATATTTAATTATGAATAGGGTGACCACCTACTTTATCTCCAAACCAAGACCGTTCTGAGTTTGAAAGGAGATGCTATCAATAATCACACGGGAATAACATGAATAAACCAGGTCATATGGTCCCTGGAATTATGAAGAAAAGCCAAGTGTTAATGATTTTACTGTAGAATTTTACTGGATGTTTTCACAATGTTTTCAAGTTCATTTGCATTAGTCATTACTGGGGAATTAAACGCTAAAATGGTGGGAGGCAAGCAAAGGTTTGCAAAATTTCACCCCATTGCATCAACATGCTCTATCTATACTCGGCACATAAACACATCACAGCTAAAGGAAAAAGTTATGTTCAGATCTCTAACCGGAAGACCAATTAACTATCTAAATGAATTACCATTCTGTTTACACTTCAAGCCCTGAAGGCTAATTACTATTTAAATAAGGCCTTCTACCTTAATTATAGCTGTTAGCATATGAAAGTTTTAGGGAGGCCTGCCTTCCAGTCGGAAATGCAAACTTGAAGAAATCCGAAGTCACTACTGACCTGCAGTAAAGGCAGAGTCTTAGATAAATAGCTTTGGGAATTAATGTCTGTGCAAAATAATCTGTAAAGTTGCTAATTTTTCTTCTCTGCTAGCTATAATCTGTAGCTCTAATATTTGCATTGCATATGCACGCACATCATCAAACTGCAGCTTTGCCATCTTCTTCAGAAGCAAGGACTCTTCATTTGAACCCTGATGGTTACCACAGCTCCTTGCACATAACAAAAAGCTGACTACACCTTTTTTTAACTGGAATGAATTCATAGAAGAACTGATCCTAGAACCCAGGCTTCCTCGATCTGTCTTTCTTCATTTTCTTCGTTTTCCTGAGTTTGGGTCTACTTGACTATTTAGGTCATGTATTCAGTCAATGAAATGTATATGAGATATGTGTAAGGCACTAAACTAGGCCCTAGGGAGATTCAGAAATGAGCACAGGGCAGCCTTTATAGAGCAAAACCGTCACGTGATTTTCTGAGGGGTTAGTCTTCCACAGTCTTTAATTAGAGGGACGTGCCCTGATAGACCCAGAAAAGGGAATTTGAAGGATCACTGTGATATTAACATTTTAGGCCAGTCTACATGGGGCAAGCAGTTTGTGACTGGCTGCGAACCTAAGGTTGTCAGTTCAAACCCACCCAGAGGCATCTCAGAAGAAAGGGCTGGCAGTCTACTTCTGAGAGGTCACAGCCTTGAAAACCCTACAGAGCATAGTTCTACTCTGACACAAATGAGGTCGCCATGAGTGGGAATCAATTTGATGGTAACTGTCATATAGATATTATTAAAATTTTTATTTGAAAACTAGGGACGGAGTATTTTGGATGAGTGGTTATTAATATAATTTATTTAATAACTACCCAAAAAAAAAAACTGATTGCCATTGAGTTTTGTCCAACTCATAGCGACCCTATAGGATAGAATAGAACTGCCCCGTAGGGTTTCCAAGGCTGTAATCCTTCGAGAAGCAGACTGCCGCATCTTTCTCCCACAGAGCAGCGGGTGGGTTTGAATCGCCGACCTTAATAACCACAGGAGAAGCAAAATAAGCAAAATTTTAAACAATAAATTATTAATCTGTAAAGACCCAACTCTCCCAAATTCCAAAAAATATTTTCCAGAATGAAAGAAAAAATAACAGTAATAATAATAATAATAAAGCGAGCTAATCCAAATATTCAATTTTGTCTCCCCATCTATAGGTCCTTCTCTTGATTATCATTTTCTTCCTATTACATTGCTTTTTCACTATTTTCGGAACATTCACATTTCATGTTTTTTTCACATATAATTGTCTCCTGCTTGTCCCATGTTATGTTATCTTTTATCATGAGATATCCCAAACAATTCTGCAAATTGCTGCCTGGGAAATACCCTGCAGTTAGAGCTAAGCATTCTTATCTATGACATTACCTCACTGCAAAGTCATCGGTTAACTACATTCTCCAGGCTGCTGATGATCGTGTCTTTCCGTCAATTCACACCATAGTAATGTAGTTATCTCCGTAAATACACCAGGTTCCCTATCAGATAATTCACGTAGTAAAGCCCGCAAAGGGTTGGTTTTGTGTGTGTGTAGTTTTGTTTTTGTTTTGTGTCTTTTTCATCTCACAAATGCTCCTGGACTTATTGAAATTCTTTGGATCATTCAGGTACATTCATTAAATCATACTCTAGTAGAACGGAGCCCTGGGGCGCAGTGGTTAAGAGCTCAGGCTGCTAATCAAACTGGTCAGCAGTTCAAATCCACTGGCTGCTCCTTGGAAACCCTATGTGGCAGTTCTACTCTGTCCTCTCGGGTCGCTATGAGTCGGAATTGACCTGACTGTAATGGGTTTGGTTTGGTTTTCTGTAGTAGGAAAGCTGATATTTGGCTTTCTTTTACTGAGCCCTACTATAATTCAAAGACCAGTGTTAACTGTTGAATATTCAAAAACCTCACTAATTTAAATCATGTTTGGAGAAGTCGATTAAATCAGGTTTTTCTAATGGGAAAAAAAAAAAAAAAACCCTTAACACTATTAAATTCCATTTTTAAGGATTTATAGCCATAGTTTCAAGAGTTGGTATATGAGGAAACACCCACAAAAGAGCTGAGCTTCCTTACCCTCAAGTGCTAAAAGGGTTATAAAGGAACGAGCTACAGACAAAGAAGGAACCTTCAGCCCTCCATTTTACCCACTGATTTATGCTACTGTTTGTTCCAGCTATCAAGTTGCAGAATGTCCAGAAAGAACAGAGTGCCTTTCCCACCAGCTGTTCTTGCAGTATTAGTTTAACTTTGTGTGGTTCATAATCTCTGAACAAGTATATATAATCCAAGAGCTTCAGATTCAGTGATTTTTTTCTTCAAACATAAATTCCATGTTGATAATGACAAACACTCAGGTGAAAAAAAAAATTGAGTCATTCTAGACCTAAAAAGAAAACTATAAATAAGTTAGGCCAAGTAAACTTTATCATAAGAACTAAAACAGATTTGAGTACCGTAAGCACACTAAGCTAAATTTTTTAAAGAAATTTTCTTTAAGAAGAAGAACATAAAAAAACTGTTTATTTACCACTTTATATTTTTCTAGTTTGAGTTTGGCATAACAGAAATATAATGTCATTTCAAATCAAATAGAAATATATATACAAACGTTCCAGATTATAATTAAGCAGCTTTAATGAGCTTTGCCATCACTCGTCTGTCAGTCTGTCATACTGAGGTGGCTTATGCATTGCTCTGATGCTCGAAGCTA